ACACACACACACACACAAAACGCAATTTGTATGTAAAAAAATTCAATTGAAATTCATATTACTTTTACGATAATATCACAAAAATGTTTTTTAGAATAAACAACATGAAGCGACAAAATAATTATTTTTTAGAAAGTTAGAAAATAAATTCAAAAAATAATAAATACAGTACAAATTCAATAAAATGTATACTTTTCTTCTTCTTTTTTTTATGACACAGGTTAATACACAAAATTAACACGAAGTATTCCCCTTTACATCCAATTATGGGATCCTGAAAAAATTACTGTCAAATTCTTCGTTCAGAAAGAGGTGAAAAAAACAGTAGAATAACATACAACAAAGTACAGCGACATAGCGAACTAATTAAACTCCAAGCAATAATATTTCTCTTACACGAAACATTCACTATCTAACATCAACAAAAACTGTTTATTTATAAGCCGTGTTTGAAGCACTGCTAACGTTTCTGAAACATGATTAATTACCGGTATGTTATTGGAAGTTTTTTTTTTTTTTTACTTCTTATTTTTATATTTTGGCTGGCTCAAGAAACGTGCTATTGCTACTGTGTTTTACAGGAAATATGCCTTTAGGTAAGGAGCTGTCAAAAACCAACCCTGGTTATCCTTAGAGGACAAACCTTGTTCAGCACTTTGCTAATGAAAAACGACAACAACAAAACAAATTATTATACTATAATACACTTTTATATGTATTTGTTTAAGCACTTGTGTATATTATGATATTGTAAAACGTCTCTTCAAAGAACACATACATGTTGCTTGAAAATCTTCTTAACATAGGAATTTTATTGTATACTTTTAAAAACATGTAATTATACAGTACTTTAAAGGGGGAAAATGTATAAACATCTGGCATTAATGAAAAATACAGTTCATGCTCCATTCACGAGAAATCTTGACAGATGTTTCTTTTCAATACTTCTTTCGCTTTACTGTCACGAGTCAAACACAAAACTATGTAATCTTCAGGAAACCGTATACATGTCCCAATTTACACAGGTTTCTTTAATATTTTTTCGGCATACAACTGTTTGAATTTCTTCAATGCATGATAAATATTAAAACACGGAACTCTTACAAAAAGTTAAAAACTTTGTGCTGATGAGCCTAGTAAAGTTTTGAAACATTATTTACACCAGAACATACAAAAAGGTAAGGAAAGTCGAATACATGCTAGAATTAGAAATTATTTTTTTACTTATTACAGTAATAGTTTCGATATCAGGCCCTGGTGTTTGGAGTAGTCGGCAGGTAGGTTTCATTACGTGTGTTTATTATTGTCTGTAAACACTTTTTTTTGTGTGTGGCACATAAATATTTAAATACGTTTCACTAGGGTCGAGTAAAAATCTACAAAAAGTATGACAACCATAGTGGTCTCCATAGACTAATTTTGTTTAAAGACAGAGAGGTCGGTATCAAATCAAACATGACTTTGAACAGAGTAAGATCTTAATCGGCTATCAAGCAAGGTTAATAGTCAGTTCTCTGGTTTAACATTATAAAATATGTTTGTGATTAAAGAGTCGGTTTTTTTTTTATACATCCTTATACACTTTCGCCTACTACGGATCCTCTCTTCGTGTGTTTAACACCACAATAAATAGTGAAGTTCAGATGTTAGACCGAATTAAATTGTACCACGTATTTTCGAAACTACATTAATACGTAAGCATTGACGTTATTTACTTAACTAGTATTGCCGATATCAGGAGCTTCGGATATCATGAGCGCAAGTTTGCCTAATTCACCGTATATAAAACTTGTGAAATTAGATCTGATTAATTATGCAGGGTTGTATACGCGAAAATCTTGCTGTGTTAATGTGCGTCAGCATCTCTTCCCTATTATGAATCCCGCCATACTGATCAAAGACAGAAGCATAACTCGTTTGATTTCCTGACTAATAAAAGCTCATAAAGGAAACTGGACTGTAGCATATACATATATATATTCTATGAGATTTTGTTTTAAAACAATATTCTAATGTTCAAGTTTTCAGCTGTACTTTTCATTATATTTATAACTTATTTACTAAATTCAAAGTACTCGTTAATTTACCGAAGATCTTAGTTGGTAATTTTAGAGCAAAGCCACATTGGGCTATCTGCTGTGTCTTCCGCAGGGAATCGAATCCCGAATTTTAGCGTTGTAAGTCCTTAAACTTAATGCTGTCCCACAGGAGGATTACTTAAGATCTGTTCTAGTGGTTTGGAAATGGAAAGAAGTAAAACAGATGATTGTCAAGCACACTTTCTAGATTTAATATCATTGTTTTTTTATGAGAGAAAGATACAAACGTTTGTTAAAAAAAAGATGTTTTTTTTTTAATCTTAAGATCATTTTTGTTTACAACTGAAAGTAGTCTTTGGTGATTTTCGACGGCTATCTGCGATATGGCCGTCCCTAATTTTGAAGTGATAGAAAAGAGGGATGGCAGCTCTTCATCACCACCCACCGCAAATTCGTGGCCTACTGTAGTAAAATAGTGGGATTTGACAATTACCCTTAAAACGCACCCACGGCCCGAAAGTACGGGGCACTTTTTTGTTGTTGAACAATTACATTTATTCTTGTGTTTGATATAGTCATTTTCCTATTTTAAAACTAATTTATTTAAAACAAAATCTAACGAGGCCTCGGAGAAATGATTGGAGGGAGTGA